ATATATAATACTTCATTTACAAATGGGGAATCCATCATTTATAAAGTATGAAAACACAATAATGAAACACATAATAGACGAGCTTATTAATCAAGAATAAAACATTTATAACTGTTGTTATGAACTGCATACTAATGAATTATTAATGTAGGAACAATGCTTTATAAATGATGAATTAAGTGTTTTACTCATACTTAACTAATGCTTCATAGTGTGTAGTTATTATAAAGTGTTACCGAGATGGGTAGTGGGGGACTTCAAAAAAATTGCTGGCTAAAAATGGCCTTTTCAAACGTTTTGCATTGTGTATCAGGAAGGTAACCTCTGCTGAGTTGACACAGCTGTCCAACTGGACTCAAAGTCTCACAGCTGCAGCCAATCCAATTTTTCTTGTTTCATGTAGGACGCTTTTCCTAACGCAGCAGAGCTGGACTCTAAAACCTTCATCATGAGATGGAAACATGGGAATAGATTAGTAGTAGTTTGTAGCACTTTTACTTAACTATGCTGTATGGGTTTTTACTCTAATGCTCATTGGTTTTCTCACTTGTCAATGTGTTTCCCTTTTATCTCAGTCTGTCTTAGAATAATAAGTTCGTATGACCGTTAAATGAAGGATCCACAGTATGTGACTGCCACATGTTATTTACAAGGTATTTACTTTGACAATGTTGTGCATCTCTTGTGTCATGATTTGAAATGCTATTTGGAGGTTTTAAAATACAACTGCATGTTGACTGGTATCCGTGACATAGTCCAGTGTAGTGTATCCACCAAAAACATAATTACAAAGAACATACAGTTCTTACACAAACCACTAAAACTACTTTCAAATATTTATTTACATTTAAGTCAAAAAGATAATTCAAACGCATCACCTTTTACAGAAACGAGTTCAATACTAGCACATTTAAGATCAATGTAATCCAACTGGCCGTGATTTGTTACATGTAATCCAGAATTTCTGTCTCCATCTCGTTTTCGCTGCCCTCCGACGGCTCAAACTCATCCTCCTCATCTTCGTCTTCATCGTCCTTGTTCTCGTCGTCCTGCTCCTGCTCCTCTTCATCCGCATGATCTCTCCCTGAGAATTTGGAATTTAGGCCTATGCGTCTGCGTCTCTTGGGGAATTCTGGCAACGCTGGGTGGAGAGAAAATAACGCTTTTAAACACAGTGTTCAGTTGTTACAGGTGCTAAAGTCTTGCCCTGGCCATGTTGTGTCTATGGAAAGAGGAAAATGCTTTATCGGTGCAACTGTTAGCAGTGAATGTGTGATCAGCACGTGTCCATGAAGTGCTGCTGAATGAGGGCATGCGCTGGGTATTTTCCTTACATGGTGTATGGGCTCGGATGACCGCAGGGGCGTTTCTAGGATTCAAAGAAAGGGGGGGCTTAGCCCCAAGGGGAGTGTAATGTTTGCGGCAATTTTTTTTGGGGCCCATTTGGGGCCGCGGATATACATTGTTTCAGACAGTTCATAGACTGGTTCAATCAGAAAGAGTGTGATTTTGCTCTGTAGTTTTGCTTGCATTCAGTATATGATAACACAAGAGACAGAATTTCAGGGTCATAGTGAAATTTGACAACACAAATATGAACTTTTCTCAAATAAAGAGAGAGAAATAATTTTCCTGCTTGTAAAGGAAAGACGGATAAACTAGCTTTCATATCCGCGTGACTCCCAAATGCTAATTCTTAAAGGGACCGCACACAATGGATGGAGAATGGACCTGACAGTGTCAACTTTATATCGTTCAGTATGATGATAGGCTATTGGATTCTAATTTGAAGGGGGAGAAAACATACAAACCAGAACGCACGCACATATGTAGCATGTTAGAGTTATAAATAACTTGTCCATGTGAGAAACGACTTCAGCCCCCCTAAAATGAGTTTACGAGAGATGTGAGTTAGCTGTTAGCCCTCAAAAATGTCAGCCTGTGTTAAAAAAGAAAGACTGACACAGAGTGTAGAATTTTTAACAAAATATGGACTTTAAAGTGTTTTTTACTGAAGTCAAAGGTAAAGCCGTGTGCTTAGTTTGTGGAGAACAAGTCGCAGTGTTGAAGGATTACAATTTGAATCGTCATTACGAGAGGACACACGTGGAGAAATACAAAAAATTGATGGATGCAGAGCGGACACGGACGTCTGAGGCTTTGCTAGCTAAACTGCAAAAGCAACAAGGCCTTTTTACCAAGCTTCACACATCCAGGGATGCAGCCGCCAAGACCAGCTTTGCAATATCCCACAAAATTGTAAAAAACAGTAAGCTATATGGGGATGGGGAGTTTATCAAAGAGTGTTTGGTGGACTCTGCTGAACTACTATGCCCTCAGAAAAAAGACACATTCTAGAATGTGCAGCTCTCCAGGCGACCGTGGCTCACTAGGTTAAGAGGGTTGTCTGGTAACCGCAGGGTCAATGGATCGATCAACGGGGACGTGTCACGTGTCGAAGTGTCCCTGAGCAAGACACTGAACCCCCGGCTCCCCAGGCGCCTATCATCGGCAGCCCACAGCTCCCTATATACAGGGATGGGTCAAATGCAGAAGTCAAATTTCGTGTTTGTATATGATAATAAAATCCTAACTTTGACGAGGAGGATCGAGGACATGGAGGGGAAACCTGGAGCTTCAACTGCAAAACAAAAGCAGACAATTTCGAACTTTTCTCCTTGGCTCTGGACGAGAGCTGCGATGTCCGCGACACAGCCAATTACTCATCTTTGTACGTGGGATAACGAAAGACTTTGTGATTACAGAGGAGCTGGCAGCAATGCAGTCAATGAAAGGGACGACGGCGGGGAGTGATTTGTTCACGGAGGTAGATGCATGCTTCCACAAGCTTGGACTGAAATGGGACAAACTGGCATGTGTCACAAACGATGGTTGTCCAAAAAATCTGACAGGGAAAAATTTCGGACTTTTAAAGTGGATGCAAGATAAAGTGAAATCAACCCAGAACTGAACTTGGTATTTTTGCATTGCATTATACAGCAGAATGTGTTGTGTAAATCAGTGCTCAAACTTAACCATGTTATTGATGTTGTAACTAAAATAGTTAACGTCATCAGGGCAAGAGCATTGAATCACAGACAGTGTGTTGCACTCTTGGAGGAGCATGAAACTGAACACAGTGACATAGGCTTCCACACAGCTGTCAGGTGGCTTAGCCTGGGCAAAGTGCTTAAAAGAGTTAAGAGTTCGGGACCTGAGAGCAGAGATTCAAGAGTTGTGTGAGAAGAAAGGCAAGGACATCCCAGAGCTCTCTGATGTAAACTGGATGACAGGTTTTGCATTTTCTGTTGCTGTGACTGCACTAATGAATGATCTGAATACCAAACTGCAAGGCAAGGGCCTCTTTGCACATGACATGTAGCCTGGTGAAGGCTTTCATGACAAAGTTGCAGTTTCTTTCAAGCCAGATGCAGGTAACACTCTCACCCACCTGCACACCCTGAAAGAAGCCATACCATCAGTTGAACATCTCCACAAGTACTCATCCATGTTAGGGGCACTGCATGGTGAGTTTTCAAGGCCATTTCAAGACTTCAAAACAGTTGAGAGTGAAACATGATTTCTTTTCCCTTCACGTGCAGTGTGGATAATGCTCCCAGTGATGTTCAGCTCCAACTCATTGACCTGCAGTCTGATGCAGTACTGCAGAGCACTTTAAGTCAGTATCACTGCTGGATTTTTATTCTTCTCTCAAAGAAGAGAACTTTAAACACATGAGGAGGCATGCTCAGAAGATGTTGGTTCTCTTTGGATCTACCTACATCTGTGAACAAACATTCTCTGTGATGAAGTTCAACAAATCCAGATCCAGATCCTCTCTCACTGACATCACCTGTCAGCTGTCCTTCACCTCTCACCTCACACATTCAGCCTGACTTCAGTGCACTTGTTCAAGCCCAACAAAGACTAGATTTCTCATACTGAACTGAAAAACAGAAAGAGGTAATTTGTATAGTAATAGTTATAGTAATACAAGTACTAATTTTGCAAAAACATGATCCCCGTCAGTGTTTTACTATTACATATGGATATTACATATGTATATGTTGTTTGAATTATTCCTGCTGCAGATGTTTTAGGTGGAGCTCATTTTAACTCTTTTATACTCTGTTGTTCAGTTTGGGTAGTTAGGAAAGGTTTGAAAAATTATAATGTGCAAAGTAACTAGTAACTAAAGCTGTTAGACAAATGTAGTGGAGTAAAAAGTACAATATTTCCCTCTGAGATGGAGTGGAGTGGAAGTACAAAGTTAAATAAAATATAAATACTTAAGTAAAGTACCTTGAATTTGTACATAAATACAGTACTTAAGCAAATATACTTAGTTACATTCCACCACTGATCATAACATTTACTCTTACCAGTCACAGCTCATCAAAACCATACAACATACTGCTTTTTATAAAGAGGTGGAATAATATTGACCAGGATTGAGTTCAGTCTATTGGTGTGGCCCTCCACAACAGTCCCTGTTTCTCATGTGGCCCCTTGGGAAAAATAATTGCCCACCCCTGGTCTAAAGCAATGTTATAAATTCACAAATCAATAGATTTCAGCTTTGGAATCTATTTCTACATTGATTTTCCATTTTTAAATATTTCTGTTCAGCTACTGCAAAGCAACACCCCTCTGAGGAGCAGTGCACTGAACTTTCATGGTTTACGTCAGGGAAAATACATTGAACAGCAAGTACTTTCCACCTTAAATTGACCCCGCACTCACCATGTAGTGAGTTGGGTCCGTGGCAGTTGAGATCATGACAGTTTGGATAAAATACCCGTCTGTTTAAAGGTTTAACCCCTTTGATAACATCGCAAATTTCCCAGCTGTGGAACAAATAAAGGATTATTTCATCTCATGTAACATGATTTAAATTGAAATGTGTTTCTGTTTATCACCATGAAATAGGTCTGAAGTATTAAGGTGGAAAGGTTTTAGAGTACACATAGTTCCAATGGAATCCAAGAGTACAAATGGTAGTAAGCGTATGCCTAATCAGTGTTACAATTAAGAAGGGGTCCTGGGAAATGTTCTCCCCTGCAAGGGGTCCCTGGCCCCAAAAACTTTGAGAGCCCCTGCTCTAGCTAACGCAGATAAACTGGAAGCAAATTGGCACTGCAGCCTGAATATCAACAGATCCATATCTTTAGTCCGTTTTGATTTGATTTCTTATTACGAAGTTAACGCACACTTCTGCACAACAATTAACGTCTTGTACATTAAGATCAACACCAACATTGTATTCAGTAGAAGGCTAATAGCTTCTGTTGACATCCAAAAAGCCAACAAAAAACAAACAAAGCCAAAAGGTTCCATACATGCAAAGTGAATTGGGTTAGCACTACTGTACATAGCCTGTTGTGAATTTAAAGAGGGCAACACAAAATTAAACTAAGGAAATGTAAATTGTGTTTGTGATCAATTCATTTTTTCATGGACCAATATTGATTTGATACTTCAGATCTATGGGACCACACTGCGGGTGCACAGGTTGTTATTCTGAGATGGTCATGGGAAGGTTGGGTAGGACACTGGTCCAGAAATGCACGTAACGCATTCTCATCTTCTGTCCCACATAGCTCTTGTCCATCTTAGAATGGATCTCCAGGAACTGGTGTCCATCGCTGGTGAACTTAGGCCAGGTAGCGGGCACGCTCGACTCTCCTTTGTTGGGGTCTCTGTGGACAGAATCAGAGAAAAAGGGCAACTGAAGTGAGACTGTTTTAGTTTTCTATTTCAGTGCCTGACTCAGGTTTGTTTGATATCATGAAGTTCCCATGACACGTGTCTGCAGAATTATACCCAGTTCTGGCAAAGTTGGTCCAGTAGGCGATCATGTAGCCAGAGAGGTCACGGTAGCGAGGCCAGTACGCCAGAGGTGTGGTGAAAGGCTTTCCAAACACGTACTGCAGGTCATCGATGTGGTCGGCTCCCATCCAGCTGGGGTAAGGTAAGGTAATGCCGCCCAGACGGTTGGGCTCAGAGAATAGGTAGGAGTAGGTGCGACCGGTTCTTCGGTGAGACAAGAAAAGAATAGGGATGTGACAATGACTACACCAAGGTGAGGGCTACAAAAATAAAGATCAAATTTAGCACTCTCAAAGCAGAATTATTCTGCAGGTTCTCAGAAGTCTGCTTATAATGACAGATGTCTAGTAGTGCAAGTTATTTCATGCCCTGCAGCTCACCATACCGATGCCTGATGCTACTTTTTGCAGTGAACCCACTAAATATTGTGGCATCACAAGGAGCCAGGTGGTAGATGGGTACTACTTCCCCTTTAAGGATCAGCAGCCACACCACAAGATGGCCGCCGAGGCAACAACTACAGCTCCCAGAAGGCCTTGCCACTCACCCAGGTGTGCGTATTTAATTTTGAACCCCAGCCCTATTTTTAGGCCTCTGCTCAAAAATTGCATACCCATACTCAAGAGAGTCCACAGCTCTAACTACAAGGTCTATTTTAATAATTGTGATGCTAGAATACAGGTAACACTTGTGAGATGTGTTGAATTGTGTAAATATTGTGTATATGTTACTGGTTAATAACTGATACACTTATGGCACAGCTCAAATTGAAAAAGTTTCAGGTTCGCCTGAAAAAAAGCACTTGAATTGAACAATTGTTTTTTTAATAATGCAGATTCTTGCCTAAAAATACGCCACAGACATAGCACAACACGTTTTACATGTCCCCACAACATATTTTACTTCGATTGAGTGAAGCAGGCCAGCATAAATGGTCTGAGTCAAGGAAAATTTAGATTTTTGGAACCAGCAGTTGCATTGCTGTATTATAATTTTATACACTATATAACTAAATATTAACTATATATTCACTTTTCTTATCACTAAGAGTGTTCAATAATCCTAATAAAGCAGTTTGACACCATTTGGATTAACTTTGAGCAGTTATGATGTGTCATATCTGTCAATCATAAAAATAAATGGCTCATAATGTGTGTATGTGACCCTGGTAAGGCCTGTGATTGGCCGATTTATTCATGGACCACCTTTTTGGATGCGGGATAGTCCAACGGGAGCCATGCGGGGGTGTTTGATAGTATCCGGGTCTGTTTACTGACTAAAAATCGCGAAATGCTGTCCGAACCCCCCTGTGTACATGCATTGGTCCACCTCGCAGAATCGCCTGTCATTTTGTCATTCATTCTCGGAGCGCATTGATCTCACTCACAGACATGCAGGACGACATGCAGGAAGTAGCTGTGCAAAACTCAGACGGATTAAATCCGTTTCTCATCACCAAAACCATCAAAACGTAAGTTTGTTTACCCAATTTGTTTTCTGCTGACCTCTGGCTGATGTTGGCTTATATATCCATAACTTTTGAATGGTTTGAAAGAGAGTAATTTCGACGACGCTGTTCGTCGCGGCGTTGGAACGCAGCCCTATGTGATGTATCAATCCGCCATCTGCGCTGCCTGCTTCGTAATGAGAGATCCATACAGAGAGCATATTTCGTCGATTTTTGGCCAAAATTGTGGTGAATCTTCTAGATATCTTCCAGATATGATATTAGTTCATGTATAATTGTGTTTGCAGTGTTTACAATGGCTGGTATGATGATGTTGCTCGGACTTTTTCCGTTAATTCGATATTTAATATGTCTGGAGCATTAATTATATTTGTTTATGAAAAATGCTTTCTACGACACGCTGTAGGATCCACTTTTCTAAAAAGACCCCCGTGGGGGTCTCTCGGGTCCAAAGGGTCACCTGATTAAGGAAGGACAGGAGAGTTTCTTTTTTCTTTTCCTTTTGAATTTAAATTTGTATATTAGACATCCTGATCCACACTCCATACCAGTTGGTAATGCACTAATTCATTGTTTGCCAACTGCCAATAAACCTCAAACAAGAAGAAGAAGAAGGACAGGAGAGCTACCAGAGGAGAGGAGATGAGAGAGAGCACACGGTGTGAAGGAGCTCCAAGATCTACATGAAGAAAATACCGAACCAGAGTGAGGAGGGTTTGAAAGGAAGAAGACCTGGTTGGCGGTGAAAAGCCGAGGACACTAGCAGAATAAGAATAAAACGTGATCTTATTCTGAGAACCTTTGATTTTTTAGCCTGTTTTTATGAATTATCTTACACCACCCCACCCTAGCCTGCCATATTGACCTCTCATGACATTACAATATAAAACACTGCAGGGTTTGTATTTATGGAAGTTGTGCTATGAGAATAATCATCAACTTTTTCCATGGTACATTAAAAGTGAATCAATTGCTTGATACATAAAAAAACATTTCAAAGTAATGAACTAAATTTGTGTTTAAATCATGCAATCAAATAAATATAATAAAACCATGATTAAATGTCACCATATTATGTTTAAAAGTTAAACTGCTGAATAAATGTATAAAATAAAAAACCTTTTTCTATTAAAGGTCCAGTGTGTAGGATTCAGTGGCGTCTAGGTTGAGGTTGCAGATTGCAACCAACTGAATACTCCTCTACTCAGCCCTCCTTTTCCAACACATTCTCCCTCCCAACTCATCAAATACGACACTTTGTCATTGGCCCTACGCTTCAAACTATGACGCTCTGGACCCCTCTAGCGACAGTTTCCACTCGCTACATGCATAGAGTCTTTTCAAAATAAACTTCTGTCTTCACAGGAAGTTAGGTTTAGGCAACAAAACAATTTAGTTAAGGTTTAGGAAAAGAGCGTGGTTAACGTTAACTCAACGGGACACAAACAGTGGAGTCCTGGACAAAAGTCCTGTTTGTTTATAACGCATCCTTCAGGTAACGTATAAATGTGAAAGGCCCTCTCTAGAGCCAGTGTTTGGTTTGTCCGTTCTGGGCTACTGTTTCAGGTGATTATACACTACTAAAAACATAGTTATGAATACTGTATTGTATTTCTGATAATAGATCCTGCTAAATCCTACACACTCAGGGGTCACTAATTGGCGGACCGCAGTCCGGATCCGGACCCAGACGCTGTTGTATCCGAACCAAGGACCTAAAACCGATAGATAATTGAGAATTATAAAATTTTGATGAGGCGCTTCTATTTTAACCTGCGCAGCTTTTCCAGCATTTACGGCACTTGTTCAGCGATGCAGGAAACACACCGACCAATGCGTTGTAAATCACATCACGTGATGCAGCTCAGCCAATCAAATATGGGTATTCTGACAAGTTTCCCGACTCGAGTGAGATGTACACGCGATGTGACACACGGGGCTGAGACGAGGAAATAGTACGAGGAGCAGGAGAAAAATTGCGTGTGCAATAGAAATTAATTCACTTGACGTTCTCCAAAAAGAGAAAAGTGTTCAGAGAGACCAGAGTCTTTAACCAAGACTGGAAAGACTCATATAGATACATTCTGTCTACGGGCAGCTTAAAAACAGTATGTCTCATATTGAGCGAACGACCCTCTCACATCCGAAATGAAGACACAGAAAATAAAGCTAAGAGCCCAATATGATCAGAGAGAATAGAGCTGAAACAAGTGGTTTAATAACCACAGATAAAGTCCATGCTCACAAATTTCTCTTGTTAGAAGATGAGAAAAATATAATATTGTGGCTTTTTTGATTGACATCACTTCACACCTGAATTAACTAAATTTAAAGCTAAAGGACATTTCAGTGAAATTGATTTTTCTAAAATGAATTTCTTTATTTTAAGATGCACATTCTTCAAAAGCTTTCTGTTGTCAGTTATTCTTTATTCCAGCCCTTATTTTACTTGAAATGAGAAGAACATTTATTTATGTATTATTTATAATCCATCCAGTTAAATTTGAAAACTGAGAATAATAATTGTTAAAATATAATTGATGTGTACTTTCTTTACTTGATTTGACAGTTGTTGACTACACAGAGACGTTGCTACTACTACTAGGTTTCTTGAATATATATATGGCACTAAATAGTGCAAGTTAGATATCATTGTAATGTTCCGGACCTTTGCACGAGGAGATTTTCTCAATTTGGACCTTTTGGAAATTTAATTGAATACCCCTGCATTAGACCTTTAATTAATGTATCAATCTGTCACATCTCCATTACTTTTGCCTACTGCTTTACAGCGTGGTTGAATTTCATCCACACCTAAAACAGAAACCTGTCTTTGAAACTTGAGATTAACATTACATTACAGTCATTTAGCAGACGCTTTTATCCAAAGCGACTTACAATTCAGAGTCTAATCACATTTTCTACACCGTAGGCACAACTAGGGGAGCAATTTTTGGGGTTAAGTGTCTTGCTCAAGGACACATCAACATGCGACTAGCAGAGGCGGAGCCGGGGATTGAACCACCGACCCTCTGATTGAAAGACGGGACGGCCCTGCCACACTTAGCCACAGTCGCCTTGGAAAACACCTGAAGGAAATTAAAAACACCTGAAGGAAATTAAAGGAACTTTTCACTCAAATTCACAAAGGTGATAAATATTTTCCCTTTGATGAATCACGCCACTTTAAGGCCTGTTTGAATTGATTTTCAATGGCCACACTTAATATCAAAAAAAGGTTAAACCCTGTTTTTTAATCCCCAACTTCAAAAGAAAGGTGTTGAACAAAAGGGCTTGTAAATAAACTGACAGCAACGTCTGTATAGCAAGATCTTATCCTCACGTGGCGTTGGCAGCATGAAGGTAGAGGGCGACCTGAGTAGGAACCAGGAAGATGAAGTCTGTTCCGATTGCCACAATGGTTGTCTTGATGGTCTCCTTGCTGGGGTTTGAGCCCCAGGTTGAGGTGTATGTGGAGTACGCGTGGTCCACAGCAGCCTTGCCCTTCTTAGTGTACGAAGCCAGGAGCCTCTTCATGTCCTCGCTGAGATCAGGAAGGTTTGAAAATTAGGTCTGATAAAACACCACAGCACCACAACTCTAACAAAAGTACAGCACGCTGCTTCGGGTAGACCCGTTGTGGAATTGTCAATGTTTCACGTGGTGATCACATGTCTTAAACTCACATAGGGGTGTCCACCAGGGGGCGGTTGATTGAAGGAACATCTAAGCCAGTGAAGAGGTGTCCGTCCATGTCGTTGATTCCAGCGATGAGGTCGATCTCAGCCGCATTGTGGAACAAGTTGGAAGGCTCATCCGGCACGAAGTCGCCATCGATCACAGGAGACAGGAGCAGGTTGAAGAAAATGGGGTCTGACAGAGGCAGATACAGTGAGAGACCTACCATATACAGCTCTAACTGTAGGTTTTATACATAACTGGAATTTCAAATTTCCAATTTGCTAGATCTGCTGTTGTTATGCTTCAAATACGTTTATAAACCAAAACTCTTGATATGAAAGGAATGGAAGCACCAATCGATATCTCAAAATTGCTAGTTTGAATAAAAGATATTAGTGGCGTCAAACAGCCAGCATAGTATGGGCAGCTTTCAAAATTTGACACTGGCGTGCACGGTAGAATTTACACGCATGTTGGTGGTCAGTTAGCCATTGGATGTAGTCTTTGCTGTGTGTATAAGTGCACATTTTAGAAGACGTTAGGCCACTAGCTGTTGGAGGTCTGCTCAGTGTGTTGGGGCAAAGTTCCCGTTCAAATTTAGAGCACATTTGAAATGGATTTCAAGAAAATGTTAATTATTGCCGTTTACAACCATTATGTTTGCAATATGAGTTGGATGCATCAAGCTAAATTTACAATAAATATGTAGTGCGCAGTTTCTCCGGTAGAGTACCATTACACTATTGCAGAAGAAGGGGGCTGACTTTTTAATATCTCCATCGTTGTGGTACAAAGGAACAAGGTGTCTAAAATGAAAATGTCAAGTAGACTGTATGGAGTGCAGTCCTTACTATCGGGTGAGCTGGACAAACTGATAGAGCCAGCCAGCGTAAGCTTCACAGGATCAGTCATCTTCAAACAGGAAGCCATAGTTTGATCGGTGGGGCAGCCGACCTTCAGAGCAACCTGGGGAGAGGGTTTAAATTAGCTTGAGCTGTCTACCGGCCCTGAACTCATACCGCGCTAACCATTCCACAAAAGTGTTGCACAGCAAAAATTAAAACACATCAAGAGTAGCCGTTGCGCACCTCCTCAGCGAACCTGCGGGGGTTCCTGTTGATAGCCCACGAGCAAGTGGCTACGCCGCTCTGGGAGATGGCTCTCTTGAACAGCCCTTTGTTGTGGGGAGTGAGAGTCTGTGGGCAGTCATAAGACATATTTCACAATGTTTTTGGTTATTTTTTGAACAAAGTTAGATTCAAATTTACAAACTGTGAATTTAATTTTAATTTCAAATCCATCATCTATCTACACCCATAATAACAAGAAAAAATCTTCTCACCTGGAAGCTGACACTAACTCCGCCTGCAGACTCTCCAAAGACGGTGATGTTGTCGGGGTCTCCTCCGAACGAGCGGATGTTCCTGTTCACCCAGGCGATGGCAGCGTGCTGGTCCCACAGACCATAGTTTCCTGTCGAGTATCACATTTTTCTCTCAATCAAGGAACTTTGATTTTAATGGTGCAATACATAAAATTGGCGGGGAAGCCAACGTCTTCTATAATTCTGTCACATTAGTGAGAAAAGAAACCAGCTCCTACCAGGTAAGTCAGATTCTCCGGTGCTCAGGAAGCCCATGGTGCCCACGCGGTATCCCAGCGTCACCACAATAACATTTCCTCGGTCTGCAATCTCCTGCCCGCTGTACAGATAGTTGTTCAGGAAGTTGGCACCCATCGAGCCTCCAGTAAGGAAGCCTCCCCCGTAGATCCAGACCATAGTGGGCAGACCAGTGGACACTAGAAGAGAGAGAAAATGGGAGCCAGTAGTAGTGTGGATCTTATACGGATGACACTCTGTGGACTTCTCTCAGTCTTTACCTGAGCGGCCGTGAGGAACCCAGATGTTCAGGTAAAGACAGTCCTCACTGCCTCTGGTATCGGTCATGATGAGATTCACCTGAATGCATCTTTTCCTGTACTCGGTGGCCTTCAGAACACCTGACGAGAGACACATACGGTGTAAGAGCAGGGTAAGGCATACATCAACAGTTTAGGCTCATCTACCCCGACAGCTAGAAGAGAAAACATTTTCCAATAAATTTGAGGTAAAAGAGAAAGAGTGGCAGAATTGGCTGCCGGGAGTTCCGGCTATGATTGCTGAAGGAGCACACATATCTTTGTGGAGTGAATTGATCAGGTGAGTTATTGGTGTGAAGTCCAGTGGGTGAGAAGTCCTGTCAGTCTACCCACCGTCCCAGCCTGGGTGACGCTTTGGTTTCTCAAACCTTCCAGGGATGTCAGCGAAGGGAATCCCCTTGAAGACGTCCATGTGACGGCGGAACCCAAGACGAATGTTCTTGCCCTGCACCATACCTCCCTCTGTGTACACCACACCGAGCTACAGAAGTTAAACACAAACATCTTCATTTACTTCAGTTTTTCCCATTTCACAGTACAGAAGAACACCCACAAAGTTTGTTTTCATGTGCTAATTGAGCGAAACGCAAGTACGACACCGACTACATGAGATATGGATTTTCTAACATTGAGGACAAAAGAGGGCAAAACCCTCAGTGTGTTTTGTGCAGCGAGGTTCTGGCACAAGAAAGCACGAAGCCGTCAAAACTGAATATTTGGAAACAAAACACCCTTCTCTCAAAGATAAACCTGTTGAGTACTTTCGAAGACGACTTCAAGATCGGAGGACATCACAAAAGTGTTTCACTTACCTGCAGCTGTGGACATGGACGTGTTACATCAATCAGCAGCGGATGAACTGAAAACTATACCTCTGTCAAATGACACTATAAGTAGACATATTGAAGACATGTCTGATGACATCAAACAACTGACCACAGCTCGAATTAAGGCAAGTGGTCATTTTGCATTACAAATGGACGAATCTACAGACATAACAAACAAAGCAGTTTTACTCGTTAGCGTGAAAAATGTGTGGGACAGGGACTGACAGGAACAATTCCTCTGCACAAGAGAGCTCCCTACTACGACGACTGCAGAGGACACTTTCGGCTCAGGTTCAAACTGCACCATCTTTTCATTAACTATATTTGAGAAGTTGAAAATTTGGGTCGCGGCTTGTCATTAAGGGGTGATGGTGGGTCCCGCAGCCAGACCAGTTGAGAACCACTACACTAGATACACTAGAAAAACACACTTACGGAGGTCGCAGAGGCCGTCTCCAGAAACGCGGCAAAAGCTACCAAAATCCCCAGCTTCACCATCATCATTAAACTGAGACAAGCAGGTTGATGATCGGCCAGACTTATACAAAAGGAGAGACCCCTCCCCTGAACATCTGATCAGTGTGCAGTCAGTGGGCCTGTTTTTCCCACTGTTACATAACACGTAATATTTAACCACCTTGTGTCCACAGCACTTTCCCGAAACACTTTACATGGATTACCTGTAACACTTCAAAACCTCTCTGGCTGAATCAAACTAACATATGTAGTGATCAAATAAAGATGTAGGCCAACTTGTAAACATGTGGTTTTCAGTGGTTAGTGGAGGGAAACGTGAATAAACAGTATTAAACCGTTTTTTAAACCGTTCTTTTCTTATCGCACATGAAGAACTATTTTCATCACCTTCACCCCACATGACCGCCACAACTAGCAACATGCAACCAGACTGTGAAGTTGTGTAAGGACTGGCCATGGCAGTGGACCAACCCTGTCCTGTCCTTTAATGCTCTCTCCTCCAATAGTAATGGCAAATAAAAAGGGAGGAAGAAAGGGGGCATCCTTCTCTTGTGATTTGATAAAGCCATTTGACTCGGTTGAAAGTTTCCCCTCGACAAAGGTAAAGAAGTCGGTTTGAATCTTGGCCACAAGTTTTGAGTCAACATTTAAAGGGGAGACATCATTAAAGAACTCACTTGGTCAGTCCTTGCGCACACGCTGTACATTTGGGTATGTGGAATGCATACTAACCAACAAACTGTCAAATCAGACAACCCAGTCAGTTTTTTTCTGGAAACAAGCCATTTAGATTTGGTTCCCCTGTTCATAGGCTCATTAGAATATTTTACTCATGATTGCTTATAGATTTTTACCCCAATGATATGACGCGTGATATCCATCCATCCATTTTCCTCCGCTTATCCGGGGTCGGGTCGCGGTGGCAACAGGCCAAGCAGGCCGACCCAGACCTCCTTCTCACCGGCAACATGTTCCAGCACATTCTGGGGGATCCCAAGGTGTTCCCAGGCCAGCTGGGAGATGTAATCTCTCCAGCGTGTTCTGGGTCTTCCCCGGGGTCTCTTCCCAGTTGGACGTGCCTGGAAAACCTCCAGTGGGAGGCGTCCAGGAGGCATCCTAATTAGATGCCCGAACCACCTCAGCTGACTCCTTTCGACGCGAAGGAGTAGCGGCTCTACTCCAAGCTCCCTCCTGATGACCGAGCTCCTTACCCTATCTCTAAGGCTGAGCCCGGCCACCCTACGGAGGAAGCTCATTTCGGCCGCTTGTAGCAGCGACCTTGTCCTTTCGGTCACGACCCAGAGTTCGTGACCATAGGTGAGGGTAGGAACGTAGACCGAGTGGTAAATTGAGAGCTTTGCCTTCCGGCTCAGCTCCCTCTTCACCAAGACGGTCTGGTGCAGTGACGCGTGATATCTCCTTTTTTTAACCCTCCTTGTGCAAAGGCGCACCATATTTTTCTTACAAACCAGACTGGGCTTTTTCGGGTGGGGGGCTTAAAGAGACAGGCGCTTTAAACGAAGCGTTTCGGATATATGTTTTTTGATCATTAGAGCCTGTAAACATGTTGTAGTAGAAACCTCAAATGCAATTACAAACCTGAAAATGAGCATATGTCCGCTTTAAAATTTAAATGTGAAACCTGGATGGATTTCACTTCGAGGATGCTTGTACAATTCTAATGGAAGGGAAATTATGGCATCCCCTAAGCCCAAGGTGTTGTGTTGGGTTTTAGAAAAGTTTTGAGATATCGGTAACACTTTATAATAACTACACACTATGAAGCATTAGTTAAGTATGAGTAAACACTTAATTCATCATTTATAAAGCACTGTTCCTACATTAATAATTCATTAGTATGCAGTTCACTGGAACCAGGAGCTTTGCATATTAGTGTACATTTACTTATTTAATTATTAATTTTAACCAAGCATATCGATCTCCACTGTTCGCACTTTTCTTCAGTTGCATGTCCCGATGGCAGCCGGCCGAATCTGCTCATTATAAGCGAAATGCTTTCAAAACGTCATCAATGTGAGACGGACAAAGGAAAAGACCGCTTCATACGTCATCAACATGAGACAAACGTTTCGCTCAGGAACTGGTACAGAAGTGCACTTACGCGATGGAAAACACCAACCTAAGTTGAAAGGGCGCGCGGACCCGGGCCAGAAAGAATGACTGCTGACGGGCCTCCAATGCCCGTCTGTTTGTTTCTTAGTTTGCTGGCACGTAACGTTACACATTATGGAGGATGAGTATCCAGCTCGCCTTCCAGCTAACACTGGAGGTCCTGGGACAGGCGCACGCTAACGCATCACCTCCGTTGTAAATAGAGCAATCCAGGTGACAGATGGCTAACTAGCTGTTATATGTGGAGTGGATGTGAATGAGATCGATATGCTCGGTATGAGATGAATAATTAAATAAGTAAATGTAAACTAATATGCAAAGCTCCTGGTTAATGGATGAGAGGTTTGTATTTAACAGTATATTGTTTGCATCTTGCAATAAATATTAATATGTTTTTGATCACTTTGTATTGTGTCTATTTGCCTGTTCTGTTCAAAAACTGTTTTGAGGCACTGCTGGCCTTTCAACGTCATTTATAAATGCTTTGTAAGGCATAAATAGTCCTCACTTTAGATGAGGTCACACAA